GTGGATTTACGGTTGTTCTCAAACCGATATCCCTTCCTATCATTCTAATTCATCAAACGCGCGTTCAGCAGTTGTTCTTCTTCGCCTCAGTCATTGCACCGTTCTTTCTATGGGCGCCCAATAGCTTCGCGACTCGCCTGCAAGTGACTCTGTGGCTTTCGTCTTCTGCTATTCACTACGCTCTGAAATGCAATGATCCCGTGTGCTGACCGGTGGAATGCGCTTTTGTTGATGTGAATTGTAACGTTCGGTTTTCTCGTTTTTGTGCTTCATGGTATCAGAACCCCACAAACTGTGCCGAAAATAATGTGTTGTATATACGGTGGACCTCAGATTACCCCACACCCTAAGAACAGTTGTAGTACGTACGAGTGCATACACATGGCGCTCGATTTTGTTTGCTGTGCTGGATTGCCATTCCCGGAAACATTCGGAAGATATTGACCTTCGTCACTGAAACATATGATAACCATTTTTCGTGACAATGCCGTAACGAATACAGTCCTATACACACTTAGCGATTCTCCTAGACCGATTTGTTTTGTCCAATTATGATAAAATAATGTAGTTGTTGGATGCCCGTTTAACCTTATTGACTTTTCCTCTTCAAGACATTTCTTGCTTGATGTGCTTATAAATCACCTTTGAAAACCAACGATGATATAGAATCCTGTTATGTCGTTTTTAACTGCAGTCTACCCTCGAGGCCGGTTGCGACCCACATTCCGACATGAACCGGGAACCACCCGGCTACTCATGGATCGACCCGAAAACAATGGCTGTATTCTCCTCAGAGGCGTCCACTCCAGACACTCTGGATGCTTGATCTCTCTTATGGTTTTTGCCACTTGTGATTTCATCCGTCCTTCCTGACTTGATCCTTACCAGTGTACCTATTTTTTGCATCTCCCTAATATTGGATCCCCTTTCTTTTTCACACCCTTGATTGTCCGAATGCTCTTCTTTCACTACCAAGCACGAGCTTTGTTATTCACTCAGTAAATACATACCTTATACAGATTAAATTTTTGTATATCGGTCGACAACACTCGTTGAAAGAGAAACGATAATTACTAGGCATATGGGTTGGATGGCAGCGATTTTAGTATTATTATTATATTTCACAATTGTCTGAAGACGGACTGTGTGCCAGGCAAATCATGGTACAATTATCTTTATAAAAAGAAAAAAACATTCCATGATTTGCATGAATACTGCGAGGTTGTCCAAGGCAGGTGAATTTTCTTGAGGAATTCACAACCGCAGCGTTCGGCTAGCCAAAGACTGACCCGCAAGGCAGCAGCGCGGTGTACAAAAACCGCAGTCCTCTGGTAGCCGGTGCCCAGTTCATCGAATCATTCGCCCTTCGAACGATGTCAAACGTCCAAAGTGCCCAATCGAGCCGGTGACCACCGGTACAACCGAAAAGGTGCGGTTCGTACGCCTCCTTATGGTTGGTTTGGAATCAGGGTTTTTAGCAAATTCCCTTAGGTGAACTACCAGTAACCCACCAACCCGGTTGATCGTATGGGAGCATTTCGCGAGGTACAAGGGCAGGGTGACCAGCCGCAACCCTAGACACCCCTCCCACCATACTGAGGCTTTTAGAGTAGTATGGATGATTCTTTCCCATTAAACTCTCCCTCAGATTGTTTACCACAGTCCTGTCTAACAATCCAATGTGCATAGGTAAGAGACGAATCGAGAACAGGATGGGTGGTCGTCTTCGTTAACCTACAAATCATTGCGACCTGCTTAATTGGGCACTTCAATGAATTGGTTTGTTTTGGATCCTCTAGTTTACTGCAATTTGATCAGGACCTTCGTTCTTGGTTGTTGTCGAATAATATGGAGATCCGCGGTACAAAGAGAAGTTTTGGACGCTATATATAAAGAACGCATGGAAACTGGATGTACTGGAAAACGCGTCACTAAACTACAATCCATGAAAGTGGTATGGGGTCTGTACGTCTTTACTCCGTTGCCTAAGAAGTTTAATTCTCTACTATGGTTCCTTTATGCGAACAGGACTTGCCAGATAACGACCTTTCAGCATTAGTTCGGTCGAATTCTCCGTAGGAGTCGCTGTTTCGGAAGGTAGGCTTGACATGTTTACCCTCAAACTCTTAATGGAATGGATCTCGGGACGGAAAAGCGGTGGACGATTGCTTAACCTTGATTACGCAAATGGCTTTGTACTGCACTCAATGATTTGATCTCTTGTGCACGATGGCGGCTGCATCCAGTTTTGCACGTTCTAAAGTGAGCAATAGTTGTCAAGAGCCAAATTGGACCATTCGAGCACGTAGTTGAATAGGTACGAGTGGGGTTAAATTTCCTGCTTAGGTCGATGGTTTGAGACCCAATTATACGACTGACTCACTAACAGTTATAATTTTGAGTATCCACTCACCTGTCCGTATGTAGGTCGTATTGCTAATATGTTTTACACAAACTGAGACTGTGTAGTACCTAATATCTTTCGTATGACTATCAGTGAACACCCTGTGCTGGTAACATCGGTCTACTGATACTGCAGGATCATTTATCGTGGAAGTATGACCATTAGTTTGGCGACTAAAAATTATGATCCACATGACAACTTTGATTCATCGCTTCAACGTATAACGATACTGGATATTGCATTGCGAGATGGTCAAGACTATTCTAGATTGGATTGTACAAATATTCGATAGTTGGTGGAGTTAACCGGTTTCCAGCGCAGCCCCAAATGGATCAGAAATGAACACAATACATAAAGTAAGTGTATTTCTGAAAGGGATTAAGAAAATAATGATACAAGGANGGATAGAACCAGGTTGTATATACTAGTGGATGCCCGATTCGGATGGTGCGTCTGGTCACCGTTCGTCGGGCGATGTGCAGTTTCATTGTGTAAAGGTCGTGCTGGAAGACGGAGGTGTTCCTATTCAAATGGGGGCTTTAAAATTGACGCTCAGCGAAATGAATACACGGACGGACAAGTAAATCAGGTATACTATCCACGACAGACAAATGCACGCACTTCGGCGACAAATGTGTGAAAACGTTGCTGGAAATCAAGNTAAACCGATTCTGCCCATCCATTTTGATCGATTTTGTCACATCCAATTCCATCGGGCTTCCAAGACGTTCAAAGGCATCACACAGTCTTTGATGTACGGTCGAGCCTTCCGGGCCGCAATCTTTCAACCACTGGAAAATCAGTTGTGCATAGGCATCCTGTTGAGTGTCCAATGAAAGAAAAAGAGAGAAAATAAGGGGGATAAATTTAGAGAAAGCGCACAAACTGAAGTAATGGCAAAATTCAATACGGATAGTTTCGTTGGAGGTCGATAGGGCGAGCTTATCCTCCCCTTACTCAGCTCGCACGAGTGATTCTCGTGGATTCAGTTGGTGTTTGGTTGCAGAATAACTCGAAGACAATCAGCAATGATTAGGAGGACTAAATGATCAAGTGCTGACCGTCTCTCAATTAGCTGAAGTATATTTCACGGGCAAAAGCCCGTGATGTTTGTTTAATACGGGGTGAACACCTTTCAATGACCGTTTGGTCCGTCAATCCTCATTAGTGCCCCATAAAATGCATAAGACATATACTTCCGTTAAGCGGAAGGTGATGAAAAAGACGACGGAGGATAATTATCACACTCGCTTTTCTACTGATAGAAGATGGACAACGTTTAGACGGGCACGTGAGAGCGTGAATGATTTACGTGTAAAGCAGTGGCACACTCGAGTTAACCCACAAATCGATGGCAGAATAAAACGGAACACAATACTGCGGTTTGCTGATACTAACAATATTTGAAGGAAGCTAGGATCGTAACGGTCACTTGGTTGGTAGTCTAGCACGCAGATCAAGCGCTCAACCGATGTTATGGATATTCTCAGTGCTGTCTACGGAAATCGAACGTGATGGTAACATGCGAATGAGAAGCATGAAATGGTTTCGCCCAACTGTGCATCAAAATGACCTGCCCTTATACACGATGGAACTGATGAGTACAAATGTCCATGATTTGATTGACTGACTAATCGATACTCATTGGCATTACACCTACATATCGCACTTTTCCCCCTAGTTTATGATCGATACTCTTCAGCCACCACAAAGAAGCCCTGCTGGAAAAGCGGATATAATGGTAATCAGTATTGAATTATCAGTCAATCCGATCATGGGCATGTACAAGGTATAGGCAAATTCCTCATCTCTTCAGCAGCACGCAAAATATTCAAAGGCTGTGAACTTATCCCACAGGGTGAAACGAAATTGACAGAACGATCACTGAACTGAAACAATTCATGCAAAGTTCCAGGGCAAAGCGAGAGTTTACTGAACCACTGTATCCGTTGGTGTGTACAGGTTAGATGAGAAAGAGACGACCGCCGAACCTTGACAACTATGGTTGTAGTTTGAAACTTAAGTAACCACGGACCATGCACTTTCGTACAGCGGTTTTAGTTGCTGGCTTTCGGCTACCCATTGAGATGAAAGAAAATACGAATGCTGGAAGCAGTAATTTGAAGTTAGAGAGTTCAAGCAGACTAAGGTTTCAAAGCGATTGGGCAGATGTACAGGAAGCATTGTTTACGACACTCATCTCTATCACTCAATGCATATAATCATAGGGTATATTGATCCCGAGNATTCCCAACTAATATGACCGAGTTCCATAGTCAAGGTTTTCGCAATAAGCAAAATGACTGACCCAAACCATTCCGTAGGAACCTGTTCATTTTTCTATATTGAATCCAGTACTTTCGTCCGCTCCAAAATCCAGACTAAACTTCCAAACTCAACAAGCGATAGGGATTATTTCGACTGAACTTGTTGTACTTTTTGAGGTGAACTGAACGAGGCCTAACGATTCCATTTCACTTGTTCGCCGAGCTTGGCAATTTGCTTACAAACCAGCCGAGGTGACATCATCAGCGCTTGTATCGGTTTAGTGGTAATGAGCATAGTGACAGCTGAACGTTTTATCACAAACTGGTAGACTAGGGTTCGAACTACAGTCTCATAACCTCAGACCAAACAGAGATATGGATTTAAACCGCGTGATCACCATCATCTTGTGAAGAAACCGGAACGATAAATGAACACAACAGCTTACCCGATTCAGGTGAATGAGATTGAGAACTGCGGTTGAGAAAACTGCCTCCAATTCCACTGGATATGTGTCTTTCGCAACCAAGGTGAACAGATCGGTCAAGAGCCGTGTGTCAAGACCGAGGCTGGTGACTAGGTGATCGGCAACTTGTATGTTTTCCGACGGTGGGTCTCGAGCACGCACCGTCAAACAGTAGTCTAGTACGGCAGTGATAATCTCGAGACACTGGTGTGTGACTGAATGGTCCACTCCACTGAATGCGGCCAGACCAGGTGTTGTGCTCGTGTTCCAGGTTGAAGAAGAGGATGTGGGAAAAGCGTTTGCAGCCGAGCCGAAAATTCCGAGTCGGATCAAATGTCCAAAGTAACTCAATTGAGGGGCGCTTAGATGAGCCAGAGCCTCCACATGCAATTCACACGCGTATGTGGCGAGAGAATAAAATGCACGACACAGTTCAGGGACCTGAAAAACAAGTGATATTAAGACAATCATAGCACACACGAGGCGACAAGTAGGATCGGACTCCTACGCAGTGTGTGGATTCGAGCTGCACTAGAATTGAGTTTAAACGGAATCATACAAAATGTGGGAACAAGTTCAGAAGAGAAAACTGCTATTTATGCTTTCGGCAGACTTGATTTCAGATACGGACCTTTTTGGATAAAACCCATAGTGACGAGGACCTGCTGGAAACCAGCATGTGAAGCTTCGGGAGTGGCGAACGATATAACGCCTCATTAACATAGGATATTGAAATTCAAAACAAACTGAGAGGACTGACCAACACCACATACGTAGGATATGTCCTTGAACGAGTGTACCTCACTACGGCACCTCGACCGGTATTTTAAACTTACCGATTTTTGGCGCACAATGCGAGTGTTTCTGTTTGCATTAGCTGAAGAAATAACATCACATACCAGATTTCGTGAATCACTGCTCTGTTCCGGGTGTTTCTGAACAGTCCACTGTACACTTGTAGACAGCCATACGTGCGGGGTGGTTCAAACTGCAACATGGTGATGCGCAGACAATTGTAAGTGTTCTCCTTGCGCTTGAGAAGAGTGCGAATCTGTCCAACTAACTGGAAATATAATCGATTCCGCCATTTGTGTTCCCTGTGCCTTAGGAAACGATAGACCAATAATACTATGGTCCATTACCATAAAACTCCAAATACGGAGGTATATCACCTCGCATATACGAAAAAATACCGGATGCGTCGGCTTGGCAGGATTCTAAGTGAGTTATATTCAATTTTAAATCCACTTAGCTGTATCTTTTTTATAGTGGTTGCCAGCATTGCTGTTGCCTTTTCTTCAATCCAAGGCCTAAGTAAAACTATACATTCCGCCTCATTACGTAGTCACGATGCCGGGAGGAATAGTGAGGCAAAGAATAAGAAGCGAACTGGTGAACACAGAACAGTTATACAACCTTTCGGCTTAGTTGGGACCGAAAGCGTAAAATCGCCACAATCTATACTGTAGAGTGGGATGAGCTCTCGTGATCCCAACTAAACATATAAACAAGAAAAAGACAGAAAATGTCCCTTTTGGTGGGCCTCAATAATGAATGAAATAGGTGAGNTCCGGGTCAGTACCACCGCCTAGCCATTGGAGCCTTATGTGGTTCGCCACACCAAGTTCCAAGGCTAGGTTGGCGGTTACCCCAATATCACTATGATTACTACAACCAACAGTGTTCCTTCTCAAGCGCATTCGCATTCGACAACCGCACTCAATAACGTTTGTGGTTCGAACCACAATATTGCTTCTGTACATCGATTTCTTCAGTCTACTTCCCCTCTTGCTCTATTTTTATCCGAAAGACAAATTCCTGCTTCTACAGAAACCACACATCTTCAGTTTCCCAATTATTCTCTTCAAACTTCGTTCATCCCCAAGGCTGGTGTTTGTGTTTCCATCCATTCAATTGCTTTACCCCGTTCTCCCACTTAAGTCTCATCAACTGCTAGTTCCAGACTATATGACTGAAACTTCGGGTTCTTTTTGTCAATCACTATTTCTGCACTGTGTACCGTTCCCCAAAATAGTAATGACCCTTCATTCTCTGATGTTTCATCGCTGAAGAAGAATCCCAACGCTCAGTTCACAATTTTGGGTGATATTAACGTCCATAACAGGGATTGGCTGTTACACTCTTCAGGGACACCGTCCTTTGGACGTGAAGCAGAATCATTTGTATTATTAAACAGCCTTCACCAACGGGTTAATTTCCTTACTCATATCCCTGACTAGGCTGGGGACCATGCTCATACCCTCACATCTAATCCACAATTATTTTCAAATGTTGCAGCAATTCCTCCCCTCCTCATCGGACCATTGCCTTATTTTACTCTCTACCAAAATTGTGTCCCACTGTTCCACCCAATGCTAGACGCATATTTTGGCGATACGGTTTCGCTGATTGGTTCGGCTTGCTTAACGTTCTGGCTTCTTACCCCTGGAATGAATGTTGCTTCTCCGGCGATGTTTCCATCTCGGCTTCAAAATTTTCCGAAGTTCTTTTGCAAGGCATGCAGTTATTTATTGATCCTTTCACTAAACCCGGCAAGACTCTTTCTACAGAATAGTCTAACCACACCTGTCGTTGCACTGTTCGTAGAAAGAAATCAGCTTTCCGCTGTGGGCGTCTTTCACCTCCACAAGGTCCCACCGATGGTTCTTGTCAGCACGCAACAACTTTACCAACCCTCATACGGAAGGCCAAGGAGCACTTTCTTGAACACAAAGCAACACAGTTAGCAGCCGCTCCTTCTGGAAGCCGGACGTTCTGGTCACTTACCAAGGCAGTCTCTCGTAACTTCTGTTCTATTAACTTCCTACCGTTTGTTAAACTATCTGGTGAAACAGCTTGAAAAAGATGAAATGTTTGACTCCCATTTTGCTCAACCTTACTCGAATCACCCATCCAACGCTCTACGTGCCCTACGGCAAACCATCGTTTCACACCGCTCATTTCCACCAGAAAGATACGTCAGATCCTCTTATCGATGGACCCACACAAGCCACCTGGACCCGACGGGATTCCTCCCATTGCCTTCAAAATGTGCGTCCCTGGACTGGCTCCCCTCTTATTGTGAGAAATTCCTAACCTTATGGAAAATATCAGAAATATTTCTCTTCCCCAAACGCGGTGGCCACTCAGACCCGAACAACTACTTCCCCATTTTTCTTTTCATTTTTACTTTTTATTGAATATGTAATGATACAATTTTCAGGTGGGAAGCGACCAATCAAAGGGCTGCCATACACACTAATGAGGAAAGTCAAGCGGTGTTGGTGGGATTCCAACACGTCCTCCGGGATGATAATTTGGAAACGTTACCTCCGGGCCACCGGTTATTTCGAAAGTTACGCAATCATTTGTTGCAGTTTAACTCCGCTACCACCTGGAGCAGAACAAGGGGCTTAGCGACCGTTAGTTTGGTTTCTGATTCCATCCATTTACCGGTGATTTTCTGGCGCTCATTTCGTATACTTGGTCAGCGGCACTCGACAACTGCGGAGAAACCCATACGGCTTCATTGGATATATCAGAAGCTTTCGACTTTCTGGCACGCGGGTCTGCTGGTTACACTATTCAATTTTGTCTTTCCTTCGGAACTTGTCCTGGAGAGCGACCTATCTCAGGGACCGCAACATCTCCGTTCAATTAGATAGAGACAGACTATGTCTCGTTCCGTGCCTGTGAATGCTGGTATTTCCCAGGGTTCTGTACTTTTCCCTTCCCTTTTTAAGATGTTTATTGATGACATCCTTTCTTCAACATCAAATTCTATTTACGCCTTTGCTGATGACGCTACCATGTACTCTTTTTCGTCCTATTCCTCTTCACGCATCGCTAACTCGATCACAAGTGACGACCGCTCCTCCCTTAGTTTCTCCCTAAATCCTGATTTGGGTTTTATTTCTGCTTAGGGTTATCGCAACCCTTTAATGTAAGTAAAGCTTCCTTTATGTTCATTTCTCTCAAACGCGCATCTTTCTCCCCTTCATTAAATTTTAACTCGAACATTCTCCGTTCCACAGATTCAACTTACTGGGACTTTACGTATCTTCTTCTTTTTTATGGTCACCATATATTTATCTACTTGTCTCACATAATGCGCGCAAAATCGGCTTCCTCTTCCGTGCCAGAGGTTTCTTTACTCCCATTCACCTCTCGCTTTACAAAGCTCAGATTCGCCCTACACTTTAATATCGCAGTTATGTGTGGGATGGAGCTTTGTTCACCTCTCTTTGTCTTCTTGATCGGGTTTGACGTAAAGTCATTCGTCTCATCAACGAACCGTACCCAACATGCTACTTGCAGTCACTAACTCACCGTCGGGCGGTCGCTTCCTTATTCTTATCCTATCGATACTACTTTGGATTTTGCTCTAGTATACTATCCGCTTCTGTCCCTCTCCCGCTTGTTCTTCCTAGTGGATCCCGCGCACATGCTGCTAACCAGCCATTTCAAGTGACTATACTCAGGTGTCACATTTCTAACTTTCAATCATCTTTTCTCCCAAGAACAGCACAACTGTGCAACACTCTTGACCTCAACGTACATCCTTATTTTCAAGGGTAGAATAAAAAAGCTGGTTCCCCTTACCTTCCCAAGTACAGTATATTCTTGGATCATAGGGTTTACCCCCTTTTACTGTATTCACTTTCGTGTAATAAGAAGGATGTGCACACACACGTACATCATATGGTATTGAGTAAGCAAGGCGTTCTGAAATAGCCGAGTAGATTGCAGACAGTGCGCTGCTTTTCGCCATTCAATTTACTCGTAGCTTTCAAAAAGAAGCAGTGATACGGTTCACGTTTTCCTTATAGCACAGTCCTTCTCAATGCAAATTATTCTCAACATTTTGGTGCTGAGCGTGTTGTAAGACAACAAGAAAACACGTAAATAACACAGAAATCACGAGATAAATACTTGATATATCTTACTCGGAAGACATGCCTTATTTGGTGGACGAACAACTGGACACGATGTTTAGAAATGATAGACAGCGCGAAATGATTGACTCAGGGTCACGCGAGACTGAGGAAACCAAATATATTTTCGGTGAATTCCTTTTCGGGACTTCACAATCATATTTATATGAAACATTTTCAAAAGGATCAAACAGAAAGATGAATGAGTCATGTGTTTGACAATGGGCCCAAGAATTTGTCTACATTGTGTTTTTAATCAAGGGGCATATTGCGTGATTTGAAACCAAATATACTTTAATCATCCTCTACATTTCCCGTTATGTGAGATTGCCTTTTTCAGCTAACTAGCAGAGTATTCAGGAGACAAGACAGTAAGCAAACACCACTGACAAGTCAATTGCTCAAAAGAACGAGAAGATAATAATAAATTGGTTTGCATAAGTAATTCATCATGAACGTCTGAATGAGATCATAACACCATCACTGCTTACCATCAAGGCGGATTCGGTTATCATGGGGAAAATGAAGCCCAGACAAACAAATACCACGTCGACTGCGCCCATCGAATTGGATGAGTTCGTACCGGAACAGGGTCGGTCGTCGTTCAAGCAAACGGTCAGACGTAGTTCGAATTCATGAGCTAGGACTCGATTGAGCAGGGTTAGTAACAGGCGAATTTCGGTGATACGTTCGTCCTCAGCCGTGGGTTCGAAACTTGTCTTATCTGAAACGCGAACCACCAGAGTTTTTCGGACATAGTAAAAACATCAATTAAAGACAGAATATAAGGTCGATCAACCGCGGAAAGCAACCACCAGAGTTCATTAAGAATCAAAGCCACTCATTCCGTCCGCTGATTATCCTGTCGCCCAACATTCACCTCAGGGGACAACATTTCAAGTTAGTGTTTCCAAAGTTTTGACAGGAAAGCCGAGGACAACATTTTGCCGTCAGAATGTGCAAAACTTGGAGCGCTCTCTCATCTCACGTCATTGTTGAATCTCTCAAGGTTAGACTTGAGGAAACTCTGGCAAACCTTGCATTCCTACGCTACTGAAAACGCAACGGGATACTACGCTCTGCGTTACCTCTATACCCGGAACAATGTGATATTTATCATTTCTAGCCGAGAAACGACTGAGTTGCAGACATATCTTTCAGCGGAAACCTAACTCTCCCTTGTTACTTCACAGGATATGAGTATCGAATGAATTCGGACTAATCGCCACCGTGGGAAAGTGCCAGCATTTTGTCGATTTCACTGGATACATGGAATACAAGGTAACACACAGAACACTGGAATCAGATCGGTCAATCCCTCGGTGTTCCATTCCGGAAGAATCTAGACTGTGCACAACCCCAGTACGGTTCTCCGTTGGTCAACGCCCTTCTTGGGCACTTAGAATAAAGGCTTACATTGTTTGCAATTGTGTTTTTGACTGGAATCCTTGGGAAACATCGAGGGACCAGATTCAGTAGCAGACTGGCAGACATAACAATGGAGACAAGAGAAGCATGAGCTTGGAATTAGTTCCCAAAGTCGGATTTTGACTTTATTCAAACCAGTAACTGTTGCCTATCATCGTATTATAAGAGTGAACAGGTGCCCAAGGAGACAGCGGGAAGCAGATACGAACCATCGATCACTTTTTTTATTACACACCGAAGTGTGTTGAACAGCTGACGGGGCCAAACCCATAGTCACGAGGACCTGCTGTTCAGTGGTGGAAACCGGCAACCTAAGCCCCGGGACTTGGAGTGGCGAACCACATAAGGCCCTGATAGACAGCAAAGCTGCCTACCACCAAAGTCGGGTGGCGGTGGTGCGGCTCGAACGTCGGACCATAGGGTCCAAAGCACGCCAGTGACAGCGACTAAAGCACTTGAGAATAGTGAACGACTGGTGACATACAGAAAACACCGGGTGGGATGAACATCTCGAATGTGCTTTAAACTGTTTAGAATAATGATCAACTATGGGCGATTTAAGAGAAAGAAAGATGTTAGGGGAAAAATAAGTGTTTCCCAATAAAAACGCACAACGCTCGAATATACGATAGTTCTGACAGGTATCTCCTTGGCATTTCACTGGAATCGTCCAATACCGCTACTGCACATGACAAGCTCGATTCGGTAGTAATTTCTTCTTTGAGGAAATTAAAAGTCTAAACGCAGTCTATAAACAAGTTATAGTGCTCATTTTAGCCTGTTTGAGCAATTCATTAGCAAACGTTCCACCGCCAACCAAGACGAGACCTTCAGTGTTCGCAAACAAATTGCCAAGCTGGGTGACCAGGCAAAGATGATTTCAATCCACCCGAGATATGAGAACAGACTTTCAAGAATTTGTCAATGTGACAGGATGGGTTGACACATTTAACAGTCATTGCTTGTTCCCCACGAGGCAGCAAGTGCGAAGCCTTGTATGAATAGCGTACATTTCAGTGGTGAGCACACCACCTAACAAGCGAGACCAAGTCGATCAGGAGAAGACTCATTTCACTGATAGTGAAACCCGATTTGGTCTTTTTTACAGAAGAGCCACGCCCTACCGCAATGCACTGAGATCCGGCGTTTCGCGCACTTGTTTGTTTTGATAGATGATGCATTAGGCTTCGAGGCACATGAGGTTTGCCGAGGTGGAGTGAGGTTAGAATAAGGTCAAGGTTGACGAGGCTACGGTCGAGCGTAACACACCGAAAGCCATCACCAGTTGGCGAAAGATGATGTGTGTAAACTTTCTTTCCATTTATAGGACCTACGATTTACCAGTGAAGCCGAAGCGACCACTGAAACGTTTCATTAACAGCCAAAAGGTCAAAAATGTCGTTAGGCAAGGGTTGGAAGTAGTGAAAGCATGACACAAGAAAGTCTTGTTGTCATGAGAGGTTTCGCACCAGACTACCATGGGTTTCTTGTGATGATCTGACCAACACTTGTTAGTTGCGTGGTCGACTACATCAACCAATTTGAAATGCGCCCAGGTAAATCACTGCGATCTCGGTGGTGTGTTCTGACTATGCATACGTTACGGCAACTCTAAATGAACAGGCAAATAGCATGCAAGGCCGTTTGATTAGCTGCGCCTTACTACCAACAACACCGAAAGGAAAAAGAATATGCAAGATTGACTCAATTGGTGACAGGGAGCCTTGCAATGTTGCTTCACCCTCGGTCAATCAGTGTTAGTACGACGATATGGAAGCGACGGTTTCCGCTGGGTGATTGGCATAACCCTGCGAAAACGAGATGTATCGTATGAGGTACACGCTCAGTCGAAAGTCTGCTTACATCAATCAAATCAGTCAGGGCCAAAAAAGTTCAGGAAGGAGCGATTCAAAGTCCACGACCATCCTTCGACATGTTATTAACGACTTTTAGTCTGCCGAGGTTATTACAGCCAGGCGGAGCACAACGGCAACTACCGAATTCGAAACCGTAAATCCTGTCAAGGTGACGTACGAACAGAAAGAAGACGATGAAACTACGAGTCAACTCGAAAATGCGAACGCTAATCTCACAAGTGCATGTATCAGCGGAAGCCTAACCGTCCTCAGAGAATTCCTACTGTGTCGATTTGAAATGGATTGGGATCAATTGCCACCGTGGAGAAATGCCGGCGTTTTCCCGATGCTACCGGATCCGTGAGATCCAGGGCAACGGAAAAATACGAGAATCTGATATGTCCATTCTTTCCATCAGCGCTTCCTTAATTTCCATTCCTGAAAAGTCTAGACTGCACCTCTGTAGATACAGCATAGTTCTTCGTCAATCACCGCATCTTCTGGCGCTCATACTTTTGCATTTGTCTTTTGACTGAAATCGTTGAGGAAACGTCTCATTGGTAAGAATCCAGTGATTGTGTAGCAGACACAACAGGTTGCGTATTCTATGATGGACACAAGTTCACTTTATTTGCCTCCCTACAGTTAGAGCCAATCAATCCCTGTTCAGCTTACACATTCTCATTGACTTTGTGCATATTGCGATCGGCCAAGTTCCTTCTACGATGTCTCGTTATACGATGATGATGGTTACGTAGGGGAGCTAATTATCACTGGCTCATTTCTGAGGTGTAGAATGGACTTGAAACAGAGAATCACATCAGTTCTGATGAAACTTTTATAGAAAAATTTCAGAACTCAATATTTTGCTATTTAGGGTTCATTATTTCTTTCTTTCCTCCTTGATAATGGAACAATCTTCGACTAAGTCCACCGCACCATACTCTAACGCAGCACCTCTCAATGAAGGACAACCAATTAAAACTAGGGGGTATTGAACCAGTGAAAAGGAGTAGAGGTATCGGTGGATCGACGTATGTTTTAGTATGCCGGAAACAGTGAGTGCTTATATGTAATGGCGAATACGGACGAGAATATCTGAGGTTACGGATACACAAAATATGTGAGAAAAGATATCCCTAGTGTTGCACTCACCCACATTCTGTTTCGCATAGTTTTGGCACAAAGCAGCGGTCAGGTTTAGGAAGATAGACGACGCAGCTGAACTGGTGGAAGGTGCTGGAGCACGTCCCGTGGTGGCCAGATCATCGTCTAACTGCGCAGAGGGAACGTTGGCCAGATAGATGAGGCAGGAATCGGCCACTTCTGAGAACAGATGGAACAATGTTTGAACCACATCGGACGAATTGTGACACCGCTGAACAAAGAGAGCGAACGAACAATGGAGCAGTCAGTGGAATATGGAGATACATACAATGAACATTTTGCGATCAAAACAGCTCTATGCACGAAATTTCATTTTACATTAGCCCTCGACCCCTACCGCCATGTTTATCTGATGTGAAGGGCTTCCTTACAGTATGCAAGCCAATAAAAGCCCTACAACCAATATCCCTACACGCCCTTATTGCATTCGCAAAGCACATTTGATTCGTATGCGAAGCCAAGTATTGCGTCATGAGGTGCAGTGAGTTTCGTATCTCGCACACCATGAACAGAGCAATGATACGGGGATAGTCAAGTCAGCAGACGAAAGGCACTGATGTGTCGCTGATATTTTCAACTACGCAAACAATCGAATAGAACTTGGTAAGTTGTCGCGATTTTGGTGAGCAACGTTTGTATTCGTGCGCATAATTTCCAGACGCATAATAGAACAGATGAGTCGTATGGGGATGAAGGCCAGCTTTTCACATCATCGTTTCCGATACCCCCTCCCGGGAACCGGAGTAATGAATCAGCTAGGGACAAGGTAGAAAGGCATTAGCGTCAAACGAAGTCAGCAGCGAAACTGCCTGCACCGAAGTTGGATTACTGTCGAGGCTGAGTTCCTACATTAGCACACTGATGACATCCACCCGAAGCTATTAACACCCCCCACCCGGCAAAGCTAAATATTACATTTTTCCGACCTTGCACTAATGATAATTAGGGTTGCAGCATGCGTGTGTATGATAAACTTCAAACTTTGTTTTGATTGCACCATACCAATTGGTCACGATGATGATTGCCATTTATAGACGATTAACATGAAAGTGATAGAATGAAGTTTCATCAACACGGTTACCGAGAAAGATAAAAGACAACACAAGCAGCAGGAAAAACCAAGAATTGAATAGTTTGCACAGTAGTTGATGATACATTCGAATGCCTTCAAGAATCATGCAGTTAATGAGTCACTAAACTACAATCCTGAACACGTCTACTCTTGAGGCAATGTCAACCACGTTTCATTCAATGTTTTTCTTTCTCCAAAATACCATTCATCCTTCCCTCTTTTTATCTTTTGATTCCACCCAACTGCGTTCTACAGACTGTTTCCCTTTTTGGATTGTCTATCAATTCTTCGCTATGCCGGTCCACTTTTATAGCTCAACTTGTTTCTCGAACTGCGCGCGAGGTTGGTTTTTACAGTATGCATTTTCACGATGGGGATTTCCAAATTTACTGTAATTAAGATTATGTGCAATAGAAAAGATCAAGTGAGACCAGGTAAGTACGCCGTGGATGTCGAGAGGTACTGATCAATGGTGAGAAGTTACTGTTGGGAGATCGCTGACTGCATTCAAGATCGTACGGAAGTACTTCGCGTTCGAGAGAAAAACGAAGTTGATCAGCAAAATTAGTTCACATCATATTTGACAGGACAGAAACCAGAGAAATACGGCGATGATTTGTCGAATCGAAAGGGTTATGTTTTTAGGGGATGGGAAAAGTCGAAGAATTTTTCCAGTACTCCGAGAATACAGAGAATTGAAGAAAAAAAAGACAAACCAAGTACAGCAGCCAATTCAGAGACAACTGGGGATAATCTTTTCTGAAGAGCAGATCTTGCAGATCTTACAAGACAATGGAATCATGAGCCAGTCAGACAAACTATTAATCGACTGGAACGGGAAAGCGTTGAATATAATACATGTGGCAGACATGGTGCAATCGGGGTTCGTCGACAACCATGGTTCACGCAGTTTTGCGCAAACGAGATAATGAAATCGAGGTAAGCCGTTGTGTAGTTGAGCGTTTTTCGGTGAAAAATTCGTTATAGCATCGACTTCGCTGGTTTAGACAAAGAATGCACATATCAACAGTCGAATACCAAATTGCGCGCATTATTTGCATATACCGCTCTAGGGTAGAGAACATCTCGTGGAGGTTAACAGATGACCTGGAGATGAGGTATGAATAACCAGGTGGAGCGGATAGAGTAAGTATCTTACACCTTCCACAACGGATTCCGAAAAGTCTTGTAACTGGTTNACTGGTTGGTTGGCGACAATGAAGAACATGTTAACAAACCAACAACAGTGGTGATCTCACGGTAACTTCTCTTCAGGTCGAAAACTTGAAAAAGTTTGTACAAACACTATGCCGTGTGTTTCGATCATAACCACAGTATCATTACGATGGTGATGACGTGAGTGGAGGCATGAAGCATGAGATAAATGCTATGAAAGAAAAAGAGTACGATGACATCTGTGAGATGCACGGAATAAATGATAGCAATAAAAGAGTGCCCGCACCTCAGCCAATTTATTCACTTACCAGAATAAGAACATGTGCGCCACTGTCCAGGGCCGGTAACAGAAGCCCGGTCCATACGTGAGAGACTAAATCGGTGGCTGCCTCAGACTGTGCGGCCAGTGAGCCGATCGCTCGTGCGACTCCACGCAACGCGGACAGACTACTCATCAAACTGTCCATAGCCGGACTATTCACTGTGGTAGGAGCGGCCAAACCGCCGCGGGAGTGATCGGCAAAATAGGTGATCACATGCACTAGCCGATCACGCAGACTGTGGAGGAGCTGTGAGTAGTGAGGGGTGAAGACATGTAGTGTACAAAATGGGATATAAACTGTCCCTATCACAATCAGTGGACGATACATACAAGTACACAGATAAACGGATATAAAAGACAAGTTTATCGGTGCACGAACGTTTACGATTGAGAGGATTGGATTCATGGATTCGTCCGCTTCCGTTACGGTTTATAGAATTCTTCACACTTAAGCTCCATCGGTTCACAGCCTGAAATAGTGCAACTACGCGACATATGCACCCTGCAGATCTGTGCTATACTTGAGTTTATCTTGTTTCTCGTCGCAGCAGATTGTTTGCTGGCACTAACATGATTTGAATGTGCTAGATGGAGAGCGTGGGCCCAGCGCGGTATCATCATCATCGTACTGACTGCTTGTTACGTACGGATTTCTGACAATATCGTGTATTGTATTGTGTATTCCATAGGATAGAATATGCCACATGATAGCAACCAAATGGTGCCTCACGAGAATGATATCGGTATTCTACCTGGTTTATTTTGTGCTTATCGGGCCCTCATGCCGAGTCAACCCTTGCGGGTTGTTGTGCATGAGAAAGAGAAACTCCGCAGTAGAAAACAAAAGAGGTACGTAGAACGATGGCATTATTTTGGTGTAACTCTAGGTGGTGGTCCGGTGGTAACGACACCAAGTTATCACCCCGGAGGACGAGTGTTCGAATCCCACCACCACCGCCCGACTCTCCCCATTTGTGTGTTGTATGGCAGCCCTTTGATTGGTCGCTTCCCCCTTCAAGTCGAAAATCGCTTTATTCATCCTGATGGATGGATTATCAGCTTCTTGCACTGCAGGAACATTTACCGTCGCACACGGTCACACAAAAAAATGAGAAAAAACAGCATCGCCAATTCAAAGGAGTGTGGAGTAAAAAGTTTGAAAATGAATATCAATTGCGTAGGAATTTCAAAAAGTCTTCTCTAACGGATGCCTTTTGAGCCAGAAATCTCGAAAGATAGGGGATGACGGACAAACGATAAGCAGTGGTACGAGCATACACCAGTTTATAACGAAATCTTGTTACAGAAGTGGATATGCATTGTTTAAGTTCTGTGTGTAATGGGTGAGTGGTGTCTGATAGAATATTCTTACAGAAGTTATCGCAACAGGTAAAATGTTTATTCGCGTTAAAGTTAGGCAAGTACAAATAAGGAATACCGCTTGTGCGAGAAGTAATTTTAACAGACCGGCGTAGAATTGTGTAATCTTTAGCTCTAAGACCGGCAAATAAAACTGGGGAGCAGTAAAGATGAGTAACAACACAAGAATATACAAATCGAGTGAGTAAATACAGTGGAACTTTTAAAGAACGCAAGCGGGTAATAAAGAAACACAACCGTCGAATCTTTACAAAAGTAGAAGTTAAATGTGAGGTCAAGGTGAGATCTTGCCAGTTAGTGACACCGGGGTACCGTAGAGAGTTCACAGGGGGACCAGGCTGGTTGTCAACATAGAGTGCAGAACAATTTCTTTCAAAAGAATGCTGCCGTTCTCCTTTGGCAAGTGTAAAGGTGACATCGCTACATTTAGATACATTGAGATATAACTTGGAAGACGAAGACCATAAGTTTAAGGCAGATAAACTGGTTTGAAGATGTGAGAATCGGAAATCACTTTGGAATTCGGAATCAATTGTGACATCATCAGCATATCTATTAGGAAGATCATTTGGGTTAGTGGGAAGGTCACGAATATAGAAAGAGAAAATAAAGGGGGACAGAATTGCTCGCTGGAGCACCCCTGAGTTGACCGGTAGGGAGTCAGAGGTTTTTACAAGAAATTTTGTGAATTGTGTTCTACCGCAAAATAATCTTGGAGTAGAGAGAGGGTATTATCGGACAATCCAGCACCTTGAGTAGAGACAAAAGCCTGCTCCTGTCAACACAGTTAAAAGCGTCACTATAGCCGAGGAAACACACGAAATGCCCTACCGTGCATGTCTAGGGATCGCAAAACTGAGTTTACCAAATGAGCAAGAGCATCTAAGGTAGAAAATTGTATCGTTGTGTATTCAATAAAAGGAAGGTTGACCCGACGGAACGGGATGCATACAGTGTTCCTCGATCCGTTCTTACGTCCACATACGGATCGGTTCTCTCAGGGTATTTCAGAATTTCGATCAATCACTATTTGTAAAATTCGATCATCAAAAACCGTAACCTAGATATTTGTGAAATCATTGCTAACCTCCAGTGATCATAAGCGAAACAGATATACCGACACACACACAGGGCGGCACAGTGTGCTTCGGATTACAATAATGAATCGTAAAATGAAGGCAAACCAAAGTGATTCGACGATGGATGAAAACAAATGTGTTTAGTTGGTATCGTCAAACACATATGGCTAAAACTATGCCCAGGCGCCCAGTCAGTGATGGATATGAGAATATCTGGTCTTCTATTTGTCATGGAAAATATTTTGACCGAAAATTATCTACATCAGTTCATTATCATCGAGCACTGATTGATCGATCTGGTATCATTTCTCACATGCTGAATCCGTTCGCACGAGCCAATCCCAGGGCTTAACAGTGCATGCGTAAAAACATCCACGTATGCGGAATTAACCTATACTGGACACCCTATAGGCGTTATTCGATTCTACAGTCATCAACAAGAAGATTGCTGGTGTGTGGATGGTTGAAAAAAATAAGCTGGATTGACAGCCTTGCTGAATATTATCTCCAACGCGGTGCTCCGTTTAGCTAAGTAGGGATATACACAGCATTTTATACAATTTTACAGATGAAGAAACAATCGAAAACAAGACTAGCTCGCCGATTGCTCGATCGCATACCTGCAACAGAAGCGGTTCCGTGTCCGGAATGGAATTCCACTGATTGAGGCGTGGACTAAGACGCTGCTTGTCGATCGCCCAACTACCGCACAGACAGGACTGGACGAGATCGATAAGGGTCTCCGGCGTTAAGTTGGGCCAGACATTATGCTGTTGTTTGCCTGATCCACACAGTACTGCACAAATATCGTACCAAGCCGGACAAACAAGATTCGTCGATCTGCGAAGGGAGAGAGGAATGCACCGGAAGATTGAGAGAAAGAAGGATACCGTTTTGCAGAGGACTCACAAACAGACCAGGAGTGTTTTTATACCTCTCGAGGAGCAGCAGCAGCAGCAATTTATTTGGATTAGGGAATAGATTCGTTATCAAGAAAGTTACACAACGTATTTTCTCTTTCACCATTCTGAGATCATCATCATCATCATCATCATCATCATCATCATCATCGTACAGCGAGATACAGTGAAGCGAGCTTTACTGATCGCTGCCAAGCTCACAAGGTACACAAATCAAATGATAAAGCAAAAGATGGAGAGGGATTGGGCCTATTTGGAGGGAGGCAAAGAAAAAGAATCTCTATGTTCAACACACAGAGTACACAATCTAAGTGTTCATGCATACCTTTTTCAAGCAT